GTACAACTTCAAACAAAAAGAAAAAAAACACTTAATAATTAAAGTCAAATCAGTATCAAGAACAAAAAATAACTGCAAGGGAAAGCAAGTTTAAAACCCTAGGCTACTAAGAAGGGAGTCTGCATGTTGTCTGTAGAATTGATATATTGCCAAAATCGGGATCAACTCTAGGTGGTTTACAACAAACAATGGAACATCAAGACTCAACCATAAAGCAATATTACCCTGTGATAAACTGTAAAAATCATGGCACCAAACCAGTTGCTCTTAATAATCATTAGGGTTCAAACATGCTGCAGAAGCATTCCATCTTCAAGCCTTCTTAAAGATGCCAAGAGAAAGGCAACTGGAATTTCTGGTGGAGGTTGTTCCACAAGGTTTAGCTAATAAGGACAAACATGAACAGGAGACTCTCCCTTAACTTTTAAACAAAGCACTTCTGTTTGCTGTGTTTACTCTGATACAGAATCCGTGGGATTTAGTGACAGCTAAGCTTGTGTACATGACAACGCAGCCCTACAAAGATATACTCAGTCCCTTAGACCATTTTTTTTTTCTTAAGGAAACGAGATTTAAGATTGCAAGTGGAGATGGATATCCTTTGTTTTAGGGAGTAGATTCCATTAAAATCAGAGGGATTTGTATTCAGAATCAACACATGCAGAATGGTGCCTTAAGACCAGTTAATGTAAAACCAATGTAACAACACCAAAATATTGTGCTCCGTAACATGCTGCCTCCAAACAAACTGTGTTATCGCTCAGCATGATAAACTAGTTCACCCAACACGCTAAGGTCATGGTTTTGCTTCCCACAACACACGGACCCAGGGGCACCTACAAGGGGAAGGTCAAAGAAGTCAAGAAGGTGGGTACAGTACATGTTAAAAAAGGTGGGGGGGTAGGGCTTCAATCACATGGTTGTGGCTACTATCTTACTTTGATGCCCCCTCCCATGGATGCCCCTGTGTTAACCCACCCACCCAAAATACAGCCAATCATGCTGTTCTCTCTTCTTGATTGGAAGAAAGGAAAAATAACCTGATTTGAGGATAGTCAATATTGAGCTGACTTGCCCCAGTTCCATTTTTCTCTTACCATGCTGTTCCCCTTGGTACCCTCTAAATATTTGACTACGTGATATCTTTGAATTTGGTTTGACAACCAATAATATTGATGAATTGATGGATTTCATCATTGATAAGCAGAAGTGGGGATTCCTGACAGAGCCTTTAACAAAATGCTCTTGAGCTTGGAATCTGGCAATTGGCCTTTTAGGCCGTGTACTTTGCCAGAATCCAAGCAAGTGAGATTTTCCCCTTCCCGGAGCAATTATTTCAGTGAGGAAGTTCACAGGTGCCTTTTCAGCACATAAAGAATTGAATAGTGAAACTGGACATTTTGGGGAAGCAAGCTTCTTGCTGTCCAACCGTTGGGAGTTGCAAATTGTGCTTTCTCTGTTCTGCAGATACAGGTTCTATTTCTAGCCAACTCAAGAGAAGGAGCATTTGTTGGCATGTAAGCTAGCTAAGTTAAGGTTCCCCCTTGTATTCTGGCCTGGTGAAGTGTTTTTCCTTCCTCTACTTTCATTTGCTCCATCGCATTAGGATCTAAAGGCTGATCTCCAGGGAGCTGTCTTGACATATGTCTTTTGGCTGGAAGAATACTTGGAGAAGAGGCCAGTCTGGCCCGGTTGGAAGCCAAGGCATTCTCTTTCCATCTGATGGAATTGCTGAAAGAGACCATCCAAAAATCTGCACCTAGCAACCTGTTGCCAAGCCAGTGGCACTTGGCATGGATATATGGCTCCTTTAGACTAACGTATATCCACAAGACCCAACTTCGAACTGCAAGAAACTTCATCTGCTTTGACTGTGGATGTATGTAACTGAGATTAAGAATCTCTTCAGCCAACTGGATTTTTTCTTTATAGTCTCTCTTTATGTGAATTATTCTAAGCCCACAAAAAGCCATTTATCTCTTTCTTGGTACGAGGGGTCAAGCCCTGAACTCTGCCTCCCTGTGTCTTAAGAATTTCCTTTAACCTTTGAAACCCTTCCCCTGATCTTTTTTCTTTCCTGATGTTGTAAGCAGTGCTACAACAGAACAGTATAGTATAGCTGATCCATTTGCAGACTAATTTGCTAATCCTTTTTTTTTTTTTTTAATTCCTGGCAGCCCTAAGGATTAGCAACATGATCTGCTAGTTTTAGTTGTTATCCCAGCATAAAACTGTTTCTAAAAAAATGTGGGCCCCCCACTCCAGTCTCTCCCTTGATTACTCAGTGTTTATTTGTTCTTCAATCCTACACCAAATGTGGAATATTTGTGCAACCTGAACTGCTTCAATACATGTCTGCCTTTGGTTTAGCCAGGTCCCTTTTCAAAGTTGGTACCTTATTCAAATGTTAAAATGCTTGGTTCCTGATGTTAAATTGATTGCACAAGAGGCAAGGGGTCTCCTTCACACGTATCCAGATCCTGTTTTCTGATAGAGGAATTGCAGGCAACAGGAGCAGAAACATAGCAGGTTTTGTGAAACAGAACTGATGTTGAACTTCTCTGAAATTGTCTGCCTGTTTAAGAATGAATCCTTGAAGACATCAGTGCTTTTGGAGAATCCTTTGCTGCAAACTAGGAGTGAAAACAGGAAAAAAACAAGAGGCTTTTCAAATAAAATGCAATATTTATGGACATAGCGTGTGCTTATTTTTATAGATATAAGGATAGTTTTGATGCTGACCAGCTGCCATTAGAACATTCCACCAAGGAGGACATGTGAATCTCCAGATGTTGCTTACTGCAACTCCCAGTAAGCCAGTTCAGTATTGAGACATGGTAAAAGTTGTAGTTTTCAGCAACCCAGATTGTACTTGTGAGATGAACTTGATAACATCTAAATGAAAATATACAGGTAATCCTCATTTAACAACCACTCATACAGCAGCCGTTCAAAGTTACAACCATGCTGAACGAGTGGTACTTACAACTGGTTCTCGATGTTCTGGCCATCGCAGCGTCCCAGCAGTCACATGATTGCGATTCAAGTGCTTGGCAACTGGCTCACAGCATGGTTGCGGTGTCCCACGGTCACATGATTGCCATTTGCAACCTTCCCTGCCAGCTTCCCACAAGGAAAGTCAATGGGGAAGCCAGCAGGAGGTCACAAATGGTGATCATGTGACACTATGCCTAATGACCACCTGGGATTTGCTTAATGACAGCAACTGGAACTGCCGTCGTAAGTCAGCATGGTCATGTGATTTTCTGCTTTACCACTGCGTTGTTTAGCGACGGAGTTGCCAGTCCCAGTTACCGTTACCCAGTACCGCGAGGACCACCTGTAATACTATTTTAGCTGAAGCTTTGATCTTTATCCAAGATTGCCTGGACACTTTAGGACAGGCTCCCCAGTTTTCATGTATCAGGGACTGTACCATTTCCAGATAGTGTGATTGGGCTGTGAGAGTAGTAATTTAGTGCATAGGTAAGATGGTACATCAGGAAAAATTGTTTTGAAGTAAGGGTATGCATTCTGCTGCTGTCCAATTGTTTTGGTCTGTAAATTCTATAATCCCTATTTGTCATGCTATTTCAAACTCATACTTTGCTTGAGTACATCCTGTTGGACTTGCATTTAGTAAATGTTTGCACAGTGACAATAGCTTTGGGAGCTACTAAGCACTCTAACTAATAAACAAGGCCTTGATATAAGCCTGGCCCTCTTTATGATGAACACGCTCTTATACATATTGAAGACAATGGATGTGTGGCTCGCTGGCTGACATCATCCACAGAACTAAATAGGAAAGAATCTACTCGAACCATTTCAACAGATTGCAGAGAAGACTTTAAGAAGCAATGGCTAACTCTTTTGACTTGATTTGTTCGTTTGCAGGCATAAAGGTTCTTAGAATAGTTGCAATGTGAAATCTAACGGGTTGTTGGGCCCTTGATTGGGTTTCAGTCTCTAAAACAGCATTTCTCAACCATGGCAACTTTAAGATAGGTGGATTTCAACTGTGCTGGCTGGGGAATTCTGGGAGCTGAAGTCCACCTATCATAAAGTTGCCAAGGTTGAGAAACGCTGCTCTAAAATATAGGCAAGCATGTGAACATTTCAAATAATCTTGTACTATTTTCAAAGAATTCCAGAAACAAGAGGTAAAAACTTAGCAGTAGAGGCACCTTAAATTTGAAAAGATGGAACAGCCTCTGAGCTCAGGCATGAAGCTGTTCTAATTTCTCAGAATGCCCTGGTGCAATACTCTTGAAACACCAGGGTAAGTTTAAATGACAGCTCCAAAACCCAGCTGTTTTCCCCCATGCTCCAATCTTTTATTTTTGAAATAGTTTATTAGCCCAATGATGCCAAGAGAGATGTATAAAACCTGTAGCAGATAGGGTAATATGTTCTCACATATACCCTTTTTGGCGGGGGGGGGGGGGCGCTAAATTTGGTTTAAATTAAACTTAATTTAACATTAAACATAATTGTTTGAAACCAGATCTACACACGTTTGGTCATCAGTTGGAACCTCAGCAAAGACAAAAACGGTGCCACTCAAAACAGTAAGAAGATCCAAAGTGATCCTGAAGATTGCCTTGCGATCTTCATCTCTAAAAAAAAATAATAATAAAGTTCATCTCTAAGTAATGCACTTTCAAATATTGTTGGCCATTTTTTCCTAAGTGGTTACTTTTAACGAAGTTGCATAACTAACAAACGTGGAGAGAGGGTTGCTGTGAGATTGGCCACTGAATTCCACCTGCTGGGACTGGCAAAATGGTAAGAGATTCTGAGTCTGTACTAAAAGCTCAGAGAAGGGTAAATGCAGGTAGAGAATTTCTTATCCCTTTTTTAAAGGGAGACCTCAGCTGCTGTGCACTGATGCCAGCTTAGCATGAGAGCAGCTAATGGCCTTGCTCCAACCCTAAAGTGATGGGTGAGAAGCTTGTCTTTTAGCAAATCTCTCCCCCCACCCCCAAGTCTTCCCTTCCTTTCCCTCCCCTCCCCTCTTAAACTCCTAATGGAAGAATTAAACTGCCTTTCACTGCCACCTTGTGTCCAAAATAGTACTATACTGATGGGGGGGGGAGGAAAAAAGGCTCCTGTTCGATTTGCATGTCAATCCAAAGTCGAGCCTGCACACCCATTTTTTACAGCCTAGAACAAACAGATACGGGCTTACTGGAGGTAGAAGGTGCTTTTGTCCACAACAAATGGCTGTCCCCCCGTTAAAATTTTTTTTAAAAAAAAGGTGACCAACTTGTGCCTCACCCAGTCCGTTTCTGCAGCCTCGAGGTCATCCTGATTGCCACTGTGAGAATGGATGCTGGAAGAAAGGGCTTAACTAAGCATAACCTTTCTTTATTGGGTTGATCGGTTTTGGCAGAGGTGGTTGTAGCTCCCCCGTGTATTTTCTCTGCTGCTGGGAACCTTGGGATGAGCCCTTGGTCTTCAGTGTTTAGACTACATGAGATATAACTGAACTTGCTATTATGACACGGGGAAGGAGAATGGTGCCCTCTATCCCAGTTGAGAGCCAGTTTGGGGTAGTGGTGAAGGCACCAGGCTAGAAACCGGGAGACCCTGAGTTCTGGTCCCGCCTGAAGCACAAAGCCAGCTGGGTGACCTTGGGCCAGTCCCTCTCTCTCAGCCCTAGCAAGGAGGCAAGGGCAAACCACTTCCAAAAATGTTGCCAAGAAAACTGCAGGGACTTGTCCAGGCAGCCAAGGGTCAACACTGACCTGAAGGCCCACACACATATATGCACACACACAAACGCCACCAGTTGATGACAACTACTTGTGGCTTTGCCAGCTTGGCCAACGGTGGAAGATACAGTTCAACAACTGGAAGATCATCAGTTTCTTGTCCTTGAAAGAAAAAGTTGTTATGTCAGAATATGTCAGGTCCAGCCCAAGATGAATGACGAGACAGTCCAGCCCAATATAGTTCCTTTCTTAGCTCACTCCTAAGAGACTGAATCTCGCCAGGCTAAACCTATGCTAAAGCCACTAGTGGATATACCCCGTGAGAGACTAGCCTCATCCTCATCCAGCCTCATCCTCTTCCTCTTGCTGCGGACTGAGAAAGCTCTTGCTCTGGAATGTCCCCCCTCCCTCCTGATAACCTTGATCCTCCATTCCAGTATCTTCCTCGCTCAAGCCTTCGATTACAGAATATAATGAGAACTTCATTTAATTTTACAGGGTTGCTTTCTCTTGCAATTTGGAGCCCTAGGCAGGGATGACTTTTTGGAATAATCCAAAGAGTCAAGATGGCGGCCCCAATGGTGCAATGGAAGCTCTGCCTGTTTTTTTCATGTGGGTTGGGTGTGCAATGCACATAAAAATGGGCAGAGCTTCCATTGCACTGTCACAGCCACCCTGTGGACCACTTTTGGACCACACCCTGCAGACACCCCTGATATTGGATAAGGCTGGGGTCCCCAACTTGATGCTCTTAGGGTGCCATTCCTGCTTTTGCCTTTTTATTTTGGGATTGACAACCCCTTTCGGCAGACACGTTGGGTGAGGGCAAACTGTTCCCACCAACACAACCCTTCCCCTTAGCTCTTGCTTGCTCAAAATGCTATCTGCACCCTCTGGCTTCCAAAGACGGGACCCCAAGCAGTGCCCAATGAGAAAGGATTCTTTTAACAACCAAACCAAGGAATTGTTACAACTTGCACCCAACCCTTGACCAGCATGCCCTGCCAAGGTCTTTTTTCTGCTGGGTTCCCATCTTGTTCCCCTCGTTTTGTCTCCAGCTTACAAGGGAGACAAGCTGAAGTCTTCATTAACTGTACAAGTGTCAGAGTAGCAGCCCACCCTCCCACCCACCCCTTTACTCTGACACCATCCAAGGACAGCCTCAAGGCGTGTGAAAGCTGTTAGACTTAATCACCCATTACTTGGGAGGGAAAGCGGGCAGCAGCCGTGAATGGGAACCGAGACAATAGAAGAAGGGTAGGGAGCAACACTGTGAACAGCAAATGTCATGCCAGCATATTTTTCGGCTGCCTCGAGGTCGGGTGGAGACTAGAGCCGTTATGCTTAGCAGTGGCAAAAGGCCTCTCGACTGAACTTGCTTCTGGATTCCCATCTCAGGCTGCAAAACACACACACACACACACCCAGGCACAGACACACAGACACACAGACACACACTCTCTCTCTCACCAGGCAGCCACTAGGTGGCGGCAAAGATCTTCTTGCTGCCAACTAGAGGTCATCAGGATTTTTGCACCCCAGTTTTGATAGCCCTACATTGGACAAACAGAGAGAAGCGGGATAAATTCTTCACACATGCTGGAGTAGTACAAGATCTGCAGGATCTTTGCAATTTACTGGAAGAGAAATAAGGAATGGCTCTTTGTCTGAAATTTGGGAAATGTTGCATGGTTGAGACAAATATTTGACTTCTGTCTATCCTTGGCCTCTTCAAGAAGTAGGAAATCCATATCTTTGGAGATTATTGCTGCTTGGGGGAATTTGAACAATGGGGAGAAATCTCCTGTTTACTTCCCAAGATAAGTGTCCTGCAATTTCATTGTTTCCAGCAAGTATAAAGGGAGGGGAGGAGAATGAGCTCTTCTGCGATGAATTCAGGCCAAATTCCAAGACTGGCTGGCTGGCTGGCTGGCTGGCTGGCTGGCTTTCTCTCTCTCTCTCTCTCTCTCTCTCTC